CCCCAAAACCCCAAAACCCCAAAACCCCAAAACCCCAAAACCCCAAAACCCCATTTATTGACCCCCTACTTGAAAGTTTTTATAAAGCCAGAAAATTTAAGGTATTTAATAGATCATTATATCTAAAACATAAAATAAAATGAGAGAAGTTCTTTCGATTCATATTGGACAAGGAGGTATCCAGGTCGGTAACGCCTGCTGGGAACTCTTCTGCTTAGAGCACGGTATCCAACCAGACGGTCAGATGCCATCTGATAAGACTATCGGAGGCGGAGATGATGCTTTTAATACCTTTTTCTCAGAGACTGGAGCTGGAAAGCATGTACCAAGAGCCGTAATGGTCGATTTGGAGCCAACTGTCTGTGACGAAATCAGAACTGGTACCTACAGACAACTCTTCCATCCAGAACAGATCATCTCTGGAAAGGAAGATGCCGCCAACAACTTTGCTAGAGGACACTACACCATTGGTAAAGAAATCGTCGATCTCGTCCTCGACAGAGTTAGAAAACTCGCCGACAACTGTACCGGTCTCCAAGGATTCATCGGATTCCATTCAGTTGGTGGAGGAACTGGATCAGGACTCGGATCCCTTCTCTTGGAGAGACTCTCCGTTGATTACGGAAAGAAATCCAAGCTCTGCTTTACTGTATATCCATCCCCACAAATTTCTACAGCTGTTGTTGAACCATACAACTCCGTTCTTTCAACTCACTCCCTCTTGGAGCACACTGATGTAGCTGTTATGCTTGATAACGAAGCTGTCTATGATATTTGCAGAAGAAACTTAGACATCGAGAGACCAACCTATACCAACTTGAACAGACTTATCGCCCAGGTTATCTCCTCTTTGACTGCTTCACTGAGATTTGATGGTGCTTTGAACGTTGATATCACCGAATTCCAGACTAACTTGGTTCCATACCCAAGAATTCATTTCATGCTTTCTTCTTATGGCCCAGTCATCTCAGCTGAGAAGGCTTACCACGAGCAACTCTCTGTTGCTGAGATCACCAACTCTTCATTCGAGCCAGCTTCCATGATGGCCAAGTGCGATCCAAGACACGGAAAGTACATGGCTTGCTGCATGATGTTCAGAGGAGATGTTGTTCCAAAGGATGTAAACGCTGCCGTTGCAACTATTAAAACCAAGAGAACCATCCAGTTCGTCGACTGGTCTCCTACCGGATTCAAGGTCGGAATTAACTACCAGCCACCAACTGTCGTCCCAGGAGGTGACTTGGCCAAGGTTATGAGAGCTGTTTGTATGATCTCTAACTCTACTGCCATTGCTGAGGTCTTCTCTAGAATTGACCATAAGTTTGATCTCATGTACGCCAAGAGAGCCTTCGTTCACTGGTACGTAGGAGAAGGTATGGAAGAAGGAGAATTCTCTGAAGCCAGAGAAGATCTTGCTGCCCTCGAGAAAGATTACGAAGAAGTCGGAATCGAGACCGCCGAGGGAGAAGGCGAAGAAGAGATGGAATAAACCTAATTATTCAAAACATTCATACATATATGATTTCCTTTCTTTCAAAATATTGGTTTTTTTATGGGGTTTTGGGGTTTTGGGGTTTTGGGGTTTTGGGGTTTTGGGGTTTTGGGGTTTTGGGG